ACTCTTTAGTTATAATTATCTCTTAGAGCTAGTAACTACTATCTAAGATAATATTATTTCTATTATAAAGCTAGATTTATTAAAATTATATATATTTTTATTAGTAATACTATACTTTACCTTTATATTACCTACTAGGTTAAACTACACCTAAATAATTATAGAATCTTTTTACTTTACTTTCTAATAGTTATACCTATAATTAAGCTATATTTTAAGCTTAGAATAGTATATAATAAAGTTATTTAGCTAGTTCTTACTTATAATCTTTTTCTTCTACTTAGTAAGTAGCTAATTAGCTATATCTTAAATAGTAGTAAGCTAGAGAGTAAATTCTTATATATCTAGATTAAGTATATACTTAACTATTATCTACTTTTCGTCTTTATAAGCTTTATTAAATTAGGTATCTTTTTATATCTTTAAGTTACTTTATTATATTAATTATAAATTCGCTTCTAAGGTACGTTATAGAAAGTACTAATACGTTATAAAGTTAGCTCTAGATTCTATTAAATAGTCTAGAGTATAAGCTATATTTAGAATTTATCTAAAGTTAATTAAGTATTTATAGAGAACTTTATAATAGAGATAATAGTATTTAGTAGAAACTTAGTATTTTTAGATAGTTTACTTATATAGGTAGTTCGCTTATAAAGTACGTTAAGTATTATTATATCTTAATAATAATATATAAAACTTATAAAATATATTATCTATAGCTTAGTAAAGATTTCTAGAAAACTTTTATAGAGCTAGCTCTTTTAGGTATAGCGTAATAAAAGATAGAAGTTTAAAGAATTTTTTTTAAAGTTTTTTTCTCTAACTATATATATATATATATAGTTAATCTAGCTATATAAACTTATTATTTTATAAATTATAGTAATGTACTTTACTATTAAACTAGTTACTCTATCGAATAACTTATAGTTTCTTAGCAACAAAAATTAACAAAAATTAATATATTTTTCTTAAATAATTAAGCGAAACCTTAATATTTCTCTATAAAAATATATATATAGATTTCTTTTAGTATATTATACCTTATAATAAAGTTACACTAAGATGTATTACGTAATTAAAAAGCTATACGTATTTAGGTAACTTTTAAAAAAAACCTAGTTTACTTCTAGTAAATAGTATTATATCTCTATAATAATCTATAAAACTTATAGTATATAGTATTTATAACGTAATAAAGGTTTCTAGAAAACTTTTATAGCGCTAGCTCTTCTAGGTAGAACGTAATAAGAGATAGAAGTTTAAAGATTTTCTTTTTAGAGTTTTCTTCTTCTAACTATATATATATATATATAGTTAATCTAGCTATATAAACTTATTATTATATAAATTATAGTAGGCTTTAACTATATAGAGCTTATTAACTAATAATATACTAGCTTTAAGTAGTTATTTAAAAGTAGAGCCTTTTTAGTAGTATAGTATAGAAAGAGAGAAATATACTAAAACTATCTTAAAATTATTACTTCTAAATATATAGAAGACTTATAGTATATATAATCTTATAGTATATAACTTTATATAACTAGATTATTTATATATATCTATAGTTAGAGAAGAAAACTCTAGAAAGATTTTATTTAAATTTCTATCTCTTATTACGCTATACCTAGAAGAGCTAGCGCTATAGAAGTTTTTTAGAAACCTTTATTACGTTATAGATATTATATACTATAAGTTTTATAAATTATTAAAAAGGTATAATACTACTTACTAGAAGTAAACTAGATTTTTCTTAAAAGTTACCTAAACACGTATAGCTTTTTAATTACGTAATATATCTTAGTGCAACTTTAGTATAAGGTGTAATATAGTATAATAAATATATATATAAATTTTTATAGAAAACTATTAAGGTTTTACTTAGTTATTTAAGAAAAATAAGTTAATTTTCGTTAATTTTCCTTACTAAGCAAAAGATAGTTAGCTTACTTAGGTAGTTAGTTTACTTATAAAGTACGTTAGTTTATAAGCTTAGTATAAATACGTAAAGTTACGTCTATATTACTACTATTCTTTCTAGATAGTTTATTATACTAGTACTCTTTTAAGCTTAAAGCTAGATAAAATAAATTAATTAATTAACTAAATATAAGAGAATTTACGCTTTTAAATTAATATACTTTATAAGTAAGCTAGTTATATAAGTAAGCTAGTTACTTTTACTAAGTCTCTACTAATAATTATCTTAACTACTATAAGTCTATCTACTAATACTAAGTTATCTTTTTAAGAAGCTAGAATATAGCTTATAATTTAAGCTATCTAGACTAGCTAAATTTTAAAGTAAGTAATATACTATAGTA